TTATATAAAGGTACAATTCCCAGTGAGAAATGTAATTGTGTTGTACACCTACAATGTACCAATAAAAGAATTTAATACAAAAAAAATGTATAAAAAATAAATTCCTCAAAAATGCTTACAAATACTATTTTAAGGGCCATAGACTACAAAGTCAGAGATTCTTGGTATTAAAAAACATAAATTGAGGGGCCTGGGATTTAGCTCAGTGGTGCCTTGCCTGCCTTGCAAGTGCAAGGTCCTGAGTTCAATCCTGGGTACAAAAAAAAAAATAAATTCTGTGCAAATGAGAACAAAGGAAATAACAGAGAGCAAAGAGCTCTTCCCAGACTTCTGATTTGGTACTTATGAAAAGATATTGAAGAAATAAATTATAAACTTGATATTAGGTAAAAAATGAAGGAAACTTTAAAAATTAGAATATTAATCAGCTGTATAAAATTGACATCAGAGCATATTTTATACCCACTGTAAATCATTTAACTCATCATTATCCTCAAGTCACAAATATTATTGACAACTCAAGTTGTGTTTTAATATTTCATTTAATCAATGTTATCTCACCTTTTATGTTGCTTTCAGGAAACAATATGCTACAATTATTTTCTTGGGTATAAAATATTAAAATAAATTGTTTTAATCTGATGTAAGTCTCACCCAGAATGCTGGGATACTTTAATATAACACAGCCAAACTACATGTGGTTTTTAAAACTTTCTAATTTCCAGGGGCAAGAATATGAAAGCTGACTGAATGTGCCCAAGCCTGGCTCTAACAAATTGTAGTTTCCTCTTTACCTTTTTAAGTTTTAGAACTTTGCCTTTCACTGCTCCAATGAGCTTGAATACTTTCCTTTATTTAATTTACTATGCCTGATTTATGTTAGACAGGTGAAAAACAGGGTTTAAGAGTCCAGCCATGTCCAATAAGTGAACTTTTTTAACCTCTTGAGTGTTTAGAAAGAACACACTCAGAAGATAAAGTCATGCATTACAGATGCTGCACAGCTATGATCCCAGCACCCTGAGGGCTGAGGCTGGAGGATAGAAAGTCAGAGCTCAACCTGGTCAATTTAACAACCCAGTGAGACCTTGTCTCAAAATAAGTAAAAAGGACTGGGGATGTAGCTCAGTGTGAAGGTCCTGGGTTTAATCCCCAACACACACACACAAAAGATGATAAGTACATCCAAACAGTCTTTTATTTATAATGAAAGCAAACATGACAGAATCCTTATTTACTTATTTTCTCACAAACATACTTTCCAAAATGTATAAGAGGTGCGCTGCACCCTTGGCCTGTCATAAAAAATACCATAGATTTACGGACTGATAACAGCATGGGTTTATTCTCCCACAGCTTTAGAGGAAGTCTAGAACTCATTCTCTTTCCATAGTGCCCATCTTGGATGAAGCCCAGGAGAATGTCAGTCATTGTTTCAAATTTCCCTGAGACATTAAAAGACTAGATTTTGTCTTGACATTCTAATATTTAGAATGTCTCATTAAACTATGGACCCATGACTGCCCAATATCTATTGTAAGAAAAGGTAGATATGAGAAGGATTTTTTGTGATGATTCAGAAAAGAGTAGTATAGAATTATTCCTCATTCATTTTTGACAAAGCCAAAGGAAATCTCTTCTTAAGAAAGGTTTTGATATATCTAGTGTGTGTGTGTCTATATATATATGTATGTATATATATATATTTATATATATCCTGATACACATATCTACATAAAAATGGCCATGACCAGTTATTTACCCATTTCAAAATCTATTTACCAGGAATTTCATATCCATTATATTAGGCATACTTTTGTTCTCCCTTTCCTGTTGCCTAAAACAGAGTTACTAGCTGGCAGACAAATTTTTTTCTCCATACCATATTCTTGTGATTTTACTGCTCTTCTGTCATTTAATTACTGGGTCAGGGAAAGGATTATTTCTAATACTTCTTCTGAGACTATAATTCACCTAGTCACATCAGAAGTTCTTTACTACTCTGCTACATACTGTTCATGATAGAAAAATGCTAAAAATGAATATTCATGCAGTGAGAATTGCTTTTTTCTCTTCCAGGAGGCTGAGAAGGGTGAGACTTCCCCTCTCAGAGATGTGATCTGGACATACACCCACGTATCCCAGGGACTCTAGTCCTGTCTTAGATGGGCAGAGCTATGAGCACTGTGTCCATGCCATGGATGCAGACTTTCCACGGGGGTCCTTTTACCGGCTGCTGCAGATGCCATGAACTTTATCTCTATTGGTTTCCTCCCCATACAGAGGATATTTTATACCACTTGGCTGACGTGAGAGGCCTCCCACCATGGCCTTCACTCTCCACACCACTGCTCCCACCAGGGAATTTGCATAGTGTCCCCCAGGGGGGACGTTCCCTGCAAGACTGGGATAAAAGCTCAGCTCTAACTTTGCCAGGACTAATCAAGACTCCTCAGTTCTATTTCTCAAAATGAGGCTCCTTCTTCAGCTCCTGGGGCTGCTAATGCTCGGGATCCCAGGTAAGAACACAGGGTGATAAGGAGGGGGAATGGGGTGAGAGTGTGAGTTCCAGGGTCCCACTGCTGCCTGGGTGAGTTCCGTACACGTGTGAGATGTGCAGCCCTGTATTGAAGCCTGGGTGTGTGAGGTTTAGATCAGTGGGTGAAGAAAATTCCTAAACAGTAAGGATCTAGGCTGTCATGAAGATTTTCACAAAGGCAGGGATGGTCAGGTGAATTCTAGAGGGTTCCTTGTGATTAGAAATCTTAGTAGCTATCTCAAAACTGAAGTTTTCTCTTATAGTATGAAAATCAAAAAAATAATTTAGCTTGATAATTACAAAAAAGAGAAAATTATGAAAACGTCACATGATGTTTGTACATGACCCTGCACTTCTCCTTCATCATTTTAGGATCCACTGGAGATGTTGTGATGACGCAGACCCCACTCTCTCTGTCCATCACCTCTGGAGAGCCAGCCTCCATCTCCTGCAGGTCCAGTCAGAGCCTCCTACACAGTAACGGGAAGACCTATTTGAATTGGATTGTACACAAGCCAGGCCAGTCTCCTCGGCGAATGATTTATCAGGTGACCAACAGGGACTCATGGGTCCCTGATAGGTTCAGTGGCAGCGGGTCGGGGACAGATTTCACACTCAAAATCAGCAGGGTGGAGGCTGAGGATGCTGGAGTTTATTACTGTGTGCAAGGTACACGTGCTCCTCACACAGTGATACAACCCCGAACACAAACCTCCCTCCCTGGGGAGGCCCAGCTGCCCTCTTGTGCTGCTGTCTGGGGAGCAGCACTGCAGAGTCTCTGAGTCCCTGTGAGAGGAAGAGGTTGAAGAGGAAGAGGCTGAAGAACTCAGAACAACAAGTTCCAGCTGAGGCCTCTGCCCGGGACTGAGAATGAAGAAGACAAAAGCCGGAGATTTAGCTCAGTGGTTTCGGCGCCTGCTGCGCAAGCGCAAGGACCCGAGTTTGATCCCCGGTACCAAAAAAAAAAAAAGAAGACAAGAGAGCAGCTCTGGGGAGGACACTGACACAGAGAGAAAAGCACGTGGCTGACTTCAAAGGGTTCCTTTGGGCCTTGAAAATTCTCTTCTTTCATGAAACTGAATAAAAACAAATCAAGCACACACAAATGAATTTAGCCTAAAATGATTAATAAGGTGGAAATAGCTCATAAGGTTGGTACTTTATATAGCACTTTGCTCCTATCATGTAACCATCCAGGGGGGATATGGTGGTGATGCATTGCCCTCTCACCCTGTCTGTCACTCCTGCAGAGCTGTCACAGTCTCAGAAGCAAAGGGCTGAGCTGAGAGATCACTTCTGGGCTTCCAAGGTTGGTTTCAGTGCCACTTTGTGGCACTTTGTACGGACTCCATGATTAATAAAGATCCAGCTTAGAGAAATATTAGTCATATCATGTGTTTCTGATCATCAATGCAGCAAGGCAAAGGTGAGCATCCAAAATGTGATTCTGCATCATTATATCCTGGGGAGGACCTGAGAGAAGTCGAAGGAGCTTCATTTGGTGATATCCAGAAATATAGCTACCATGGGAAGGGGGCAGGTGAAATCTTGGAAAATTTCTCACAGCAATTAGCAGCACTTGGACATGGGTTTTAGGGCCAATTTGTGTCTCTGTTCTCTATTACTACTCACTAAGACATATGAGGTTGTAGGACCCACAAGGGTCTTTCTTTACTTGATCTTAGCCAAAAGGCCGAGAAGTGATGACACAAGGATCTTTTTTTATAAGCCTTCTGCAGGCAAGCAAGAAGTCACGACCTAAGACTTCTAGGATTAAGCCCTGCACCTCACACCTCCACCCAATCCTCATGATGCTTGGTAAATCTCATATGCTGAGTTTCTTTCTTTTTGTGAGAATCCTCCAAGACCACTACTATCCCCAAAGTTGAATGTAGGGTGAATGAAAAATGAAGAGTTTGACAATAAGGACAATTGATACCTGTTATTCTATTTTGGTCTTTTGACAGCTTACAAAGTAAATATGAAAAAGTTGCATTGAGGGCCTGGGATTTAGCTCAGTGGTTTTGCCGCCTGCTGCACAAGCACAAGGACCCGAGTTCAAGTTCAATACCAGGTACCAAAAAAAAAGTTCCATTGAGCTTCCTCTAATACTTCTATCCAAGTCACTAAGTGCTCATCTTTCCAGAACTCTTTACCTAACAGCAGCTGTTTTGAAATGTGAGCAGATTCTGGTCATATTTTTTGTTGTTGTTAAATTCATTTATTGGTACATTTTAGATATAAAACACAATTACATTTCTCATTGGGAACTTGTACCTTTACATAATGCATCTTGGTTCTTATTTTTTCCCCATTCCACCCTCCACTCTCTCCACCCTTCCCTATTTACAAAGACTTTATTTCCATTTTTTCTATTTCTCAACATTTTTCCTTTCCCTTCTTTCCTTTCCCCTGTCCCTCCCACTACCCCTATCCCTTTGGACCTTTTCTTCCTATTTTGCATTATCGATTATTCATTCTAATCATCGGTACATTTTAGGTATACAATATAAGGACATTCATCATTAGAAATGTGCGCCTTTACATAATCTCTCTTGGTTCTTATTTTTCACCCTTGCCCAGCCCTCCCTTCAACCCCTCCAGTCCTCCCTATTTACAAAGATTTT